GCTGAGGGTGGTTCTCCACAGATTTGTCTCAATCGTCTAAATCAGGTAGATTACACGTTTGCTAACCAGAGTCAATAAATCCATGAATGCTGTAAAAAGATAAATCAATTGGTGAATCTTCTATAAGATATTTCTTGCTTCTGATAACTAATGAATGATTGATTAAAAGCACTGGAAATAAGGCTGCCTAGCATGTTCTAATTCGGTTGAACCTATAATGAGTATGTTGTTTGGCTGCTCATTATTTTGGATTTTTTGTTGCTTTAATGCAATTGAGATTGAGGTCACTCTCCCTCTTAAGCCAACTGATTTTTAGTCCATGTTTACTTGGAACGGTTGAATGGCTGTCATTTTAAATAAGTTAATGTAAAAGAAATATACTTGTTTCTTTACAAATTCTTCGGATCCTGTATTTTGAATGACTAATTTTAAAAGATACAATTTTCAAAGAGTTGCTATATCTTGAACTGCTGGAAGTTACCTAGTGATATGTCGTGATAAGTCCATAATATATGCATTGAGACCGGGGTTTCAGTTGTAATGACCTGAAATTTTTATTCTTTCAACATAGCAATTGGCATCTTCCATTGAGTTGTTCATGTGGTTTCACAAAGTTCTTTATAACGTAGGTTATGCAACAGGTTATGCTGTTCCTTAAACAGTATTGAAATATTGTTGCAGACTCCAAACTCACCTGTTGCCACTGGAAGTTCTGGAGGCAGAAAAGCCAGTAAGCGGATTGTACTTGTCTGTTACGGTTCCACACAGGTATAAAGCAGTAACTTGAAAATCTGTTATTTGCTTTTGCCGATAGTTTATTTGGTTTATTCTTTACTCCAATTATTTATCTGATGAACTGGTAACTGGACCAGCAAATAGTGTCAATAATTTACTTGTTTCTTTCATCTCCATTTGTACTTTGAAAAAGCTGTGATTAGTCTATCACTTCTGAGCTATTTGAAAGTAAAATATGAGGCTAGGAGGACGTAATGCATTTTTTAATGGTTATTATGTAATAAGGAAGTAAACTTTTCATGGTACATAGGCAGATATGCTGAACTGATTTCCCAAATTTTCTTGTGACTATATGTCTATAGCATAAATAATGTAAAATATAAAATGTTGAATCAGTTTGATTCTGAATGAATCTGAAGTTCCAATCCCTTTTTCTGGGAAGCATTGCAGATTTCGGTTGGGGAAAGTCGAGGGAATGATTGAGGAACATCTAACTAGCTGCATTGTTTCTGCTGAAAACCTGTGTTTGTTAGTATGACTACATTTGATATTTTGAATTCAATATATTAAAAAGAAAAAAAAAACGGAAAAAAGAAACTACAGACTAAATAATATTACAGAGTAATCTGTGATTTTGCGTGCTGGGCGTTTTACTGTAGCTATCTTCCCTTGAAAGGTCATGTTTGAATTTAACCAGCCTAAATTTCGAGTAGGGAAGGCCATCATATAGTGTTGATTTTCTTGTAGTAGAATTACAGCATTTATGCATAAAATGGCTGCTCTCAAGACCTGAATTTTATGGCAGCTTGAGACTTTTACCATCGCATCTGCTGTAGGACTAAAATAATACCATAAATTTGACTATGAAGAAAATTGGAACAGATTGTGATTAAAAATTCAACTTGCATTAAACTTTATCTTGGAGAATGGATATCTACTGAATTAGGACTGAACTGCTTCACTGTCTACTATTATGTTTCTATTGTGGTTTCATATCTTCTTTTATAAATGTCAGGGGCATTAAACTTCCTCATTGTTCCACAGGCCAGCTTTCCTTACTTTGCGGATCGGCCACTGAACATGCTTGGGATAATACAGGTACAGTACAGGATTGATATATTCTGCATAAGATTGTAAGGTCATAAAATCATATTTTGTAATTCTTCTGTGGATGCTCAACAGTCTCAGAAAACTGCAGAGCTGCTTCTTGATTTGAAAGTGAGCTCTATAGTCAGCAGCCCGAAGAACGCTTGTGTTGAGACAGCCAACACAATATCCAGAGTAAGCTCATTGTTAATGTTCTTTATTCGGTGGCTTCATGTTAGTACTCTCCTTGAATCTAATTCTTTGTTCTAGAGAGCTTTTAAGTTCCATTTTAATTTCAGGTGATTGTTTCTTTTTTCCTTTAATCTCTTGCAATTAACTTCTGGTATCATTGCAGGTCCAGGAAGCTGCAGATTGCTTGGGTGCTGATTGTGTGCCACGTTATGTAGATATGAAGCAACTGGATGACCTTGATATCGAAGACATTCTTCAGCAATCGAAGAAGGTGAGACATCTGAAAACGCCGTTTCAGTATTGAAAGATGAGGACTTTGTCATATGATTACATTTTTTCTTCCTCACCATGTTATCTCAAATCCTACATGAGTTATCGGGCCCAAATTATAAATGAAATGAACTGTATTATTGTCTTTCTGCCCTCCTCTTCCTTGCTTAACAATCACCTAAGTTTAACCTTATATGCGGAGTAGTAGAGCTCTGAAAATCAGCCATGGATTGTATCGTCTGTTATTAAGTGAGGCTAATAGAAAATTTTGCAAGAGTCTTTTTGATGTTTTATCTGCTTTTCCACAGGATGCAGTAGAGTTTCCTTCTTTTCAACCTGGTTGGTTAAAAGAATTTGAGGAAGAAGTGGTGGTAAAATTATGGAGTCAGTCTGGGAAAGCATGGGAATCACTGTTGAGTGAACTATCTGATGAATCCGAGCCACAAAAAACTGTAGTTGCAGTCGGTCATCCTGCAGTTCACATATCATTAATGGGGCACTGCCTAAATCTGACAAAAGAATGGATGGGATCGTTTCATCTTGATGCAGGTAGCATCAGTGTTGTCGACTTCCCTGATGGACCGACTGGAAGAGGAGTTATCCGATGCATAAACTACACTGCCCATTTGGGCAGATGGTCAATTCCCATTACAAGATCAACTGTGGACGATAAAGAGTTTTAACCGGAATATGTATAATTCTAAAGTTTTCGGATAATGGTACTTTACCATGCCAATTGGAAGACGGACAGTGATCTTCAAGTGTATCTAAAAACGAAATGTGCAGTATAAATGTAATTGATAACGTCATTGTTGACTGTGGTGGGGTAGTCATTAAATGCAGTAATTCCCAGATTTTCTTTCTGGGGATAAGAGGAAGGCTTACCACTTTACTAGCAAATTATATGCATGTATCTAGCTGAGTATAGAAATATGGTTAAAGTATAGGCCATCTTAATCTGTTAAAACCAATCAAATTATATGCAGTAGTTCTCATGCAATGAGTCCCTCGTATTCTTGCTTTTCATCTTTTTTTAATTATTATTTTTTATATGAAACCACTAATCTTTTCCCTTGGTAAGATCTCTTTCTATTTGCTTTTCAAGAAACAAAAATCCAGTTTTTCAAAGTACATCCACACTAAAAAAATTTTTATGTCAAAAATTTCACATTATATACTGAGAGAATATTGTAGAATACCTTTAAGGGTGTGTTTGGTTTAATGAATGTATTACTGGTAATCTTTAGGAAATGTGTTTGATTAGTTAGAATAAATTAGTGAGTATGTTTTATTAATATGTTTGGTTGGAAGGAATAAATTGGTGGATATATTATTTAAATTACTAAATTGTCTTCTAATTAAATATTATTATTATATTATTTTTTAATATTGATTATTATTTGGATTAATAACCCCCCTATATTTTAAAACTTAGCAAAAACAACCACATAATAAAAGTTTGGAAAATCAACAAAGCAACCCCACAACCTAGCCACTGCCGGCCACCGACAACCTAACGATGCGCAAAAGGCAGGAAATGGCCTCCGTGCGCCTTATAGCCATTTCTGGCCAGAGATCTTGGCAGAAATGCCTAGATCGACGCACGACGGCCATTTTCGGCCTTTCATGCACCTTCCCGATGGCGGTGGCGGCTAGCCAGGGCAGTGGTTTCCGGCGATAGGTAGGTGGGGTGGTGGCTTGGGTGAGCTGCAATTTGTTTTGAATTCAAGGATAAGTTTGTCAAAAAAGTTAATTAATTGAGGTGAAATAGTAAAAAATAATATTCGTGTAAATAAATTTAAAAATAAGGGCATTATTGTTCTAAAAATTTATTAAAAAATGATAGAATTGTAACAAAAAAAAGATTACCTGGTAATCTTACAATACCTAAGAAAATAGAGGTAATCAGATTACCAATAGTAACCACTATTGGTATTTGAAGATTATCGGAATCTTATATTACTTAACAACCAAACGTGGTAATCAAGTAATATAAGATGACATAACCCCAGTAATCCCATATTACCCCCAACCAAGCGCCCCCTTAAAGTTATCCGAATTTACTTCCGACGGCAATTTTTGCACTTTTTATCAAATAAGCCTTCAAAGTTTGAAAAATAAATTACTCATACCCCCTTTGCGTTATCAAATAGACTTTCAAAGTTTAGGTTTACAAAATACTATCTTATAAAATTAAATTTACCACTTTAATAAAAAATTTGTGATGTAAAGAAGTAGGACTCTTTAAAAAACTGTTATTTTATTTGTGTATTAAGTAGTTTATAGTTTTTTTTCTTTTAAAATCCTTGATGGTAATTTAGACTTTACACTAAAAAGTATCGTATCCATTAACAGAACACAATAACTTTTTGTTTGTTTGAGGGACAATTTTGCTATGAAAAATCACTGTGTCTTGAATTGTTATTAAAGGTCTAATCCAGAGATGTCTTGAATATTTACTTCCAAATAATAATATATCATAGTTAGGGCAAATAGGTATTCATGATACAGTTTTCAAACTTTGAAGCTCTATATAATGAATGCAAAAGTTGTCGTAATGATAAATTCGGAAATCTAAAGAATAGTCTATAATAATTTTCACTCGTGTACAAGCTCATTTGACTCACAGGCCTACGGTTAATCCAGCCCAATTTACAACCAGTCTTGGGCCTATGTAGTCCTTTAATGGTCCGGGTCGGTTCAGCTTCGCCTGTTGGACACATCTAGCACGGGCACAGCAATCAAATGTAGCGGCATTTTGGGAGGTTTTAGAAAGGTTTTGGGTTAAACAAAAATGTCAGCAGTTACAGTTGCTGGAAGATCCACATCAATTTTTGCTCGCACAATATTGAGATCAACACCATCAAGAACAAGACTCTCTCAAGTTTCAGTCTCAAATGGTTTCGTTCCCTCCAATTTCAGTCTCCGTTCACAGAGCCGAATTATCCCAACGCCTTCTCCTTGTAGGTTGTTGCGACGAGAATTGAGCTCACTTGTTCCCCTCCACAGCGCCATTTCAGCTGCCTGTCTTGTCTCCAAGCTTCCCAGTGAAGCCAGCGCTTCAATCCAAGGTTCTCTCTTAGATTTATAGATTTGATAGATTTTTTTTTTAGTTGCCATGAGGTTTGAACTTTTTATAATTTAATCCGTCTGGTTTGGAAAATAGCCAGAAATTTCTCAGTTCATTGCATTTATATGTGACCTTATAGGGAATTATCGGAGGACGATTTTAGGAAAGGTTTATGTTGATATTCATAAACATTTTTGAAAATTTTTTAGACCTGTGAAGTCTACATGTATTATAGCTGTACTTCATGAGATTTTATTGTAAATTAAAAGAAAAAAAATGATAATAATTACGGATAGTTGTTATATTCTGTATGTAATTTCTTGTTCTGACCATTGGGTAGATCTAAGTAGCTTTCTGTCTTCTGCGCATGATTAAATGCAATTCAGGTCGCTTAGCAGTTGAAACTAAATGATTATGGACTAAAAAGAGTTTTTTGCAATTAGTATGACACAATTTAATGTCTACAAGCTTTAAATAAGTGACTTTAAATTGCATTGAACATAATTAAGTTGCGTTTCAAGTTTCAACGGTTCAGAGCTGAAGTTTTTGATTTGTTAAATCTAGTTTGGTTTTAATATCTGGGAATATAATGTATGACTTAGTGGTGTAAAGTTAAGTTTTAAAATGAAAAAGGGGCTATTCGCTTTATATGTTGTGTTCTTTTTCTGGTTTTCATATTAGTTCACAAATTTTCTTTTTTGTTACTGGGAGAAATGTGTTAATAATACTGATTAATTTCTTTTTCCTTTGCTTAATGACAGGCAGATTTGCGAATTACCTCAGTCCCATCTAGGATCAAGTGCTTGCAAAGATCAAAACTCTTCCTCCTTTCAATTTTGTAATGCTGTTTACTTCTTTTCTGAAATTGAAATTCAGGCTTTCCGATGTCAATTGCTGACCAATGTTTGTTTACTCATCATTAATTTAGGTGGAAGTCTTGAGTTACTTCAGTTCTTCTACTTGCTATGTGATCAATTGATTTGACTCTGATGATAAAATAATGTCTTCATAATTTTTCAATAATATCATTTGTATCATTGGAGATTAGATTTCTGACAATACTAATGGTTCGATGTCCTGTGGTTATGATGGTGATGGTTGTATCATATTAGTGCGTAAATAAATGGAGTATGTGTCTGATGTTATTTTAGTTTCAGTATTGGAAACCCATTGGTATATTATAGAACCATTTCTGGGAAATAGTTTTAGAAACCTGGTTTCACACTCATGTTTCATAATTTGTGGCTACTAAATGTTGACTAATCTTGGATTTGGAACATCCCCAACTTTAGCTAAGGTAAGCTGTTAATTGTACTTGAGTTTAACAAGTTTGGCCCTTTGAAGTTCACACCATAAAATGATAAAAATTATGGAACATTTTTTTATTTTTTTCTGTCTTGTCATTTTTTATGTAGTCAAAAAGAGGATCTTGAATAGAACATAGAATTATCCAAATAACCTCCGTATCTCAAGTATTTATTCATTTTTTTTTGATGGGTTTGGACTCAAGAGTATGAAGTAATAGGAGACTTTGTTGAGGTTGAAATCATGTTGCCATCAAAGATCATGTTAATCTTATAGGAACCAATAAAATGCCTTTTTGTTGGTTTCAGTTTCACATTATATATTCTCTCTTAAGAAGCAACGCCTAATCATAAAGATGTTGCAAAACTTGAGCATACGGTATATTTTTTGGAATAATACAGAGTTAGTATGTTTACACAATTCCGTTGTTGATGATTTGATAAGTTGGGGTATTTTAAGTCGTTGCATAAAGTGAGTCTGTCAAACTTCATTGTATCAGTTTCATGCCCTTGAGTCAGAGTATTATGTTCTTGCGTGTGGTTAATATTAGAGAAAGTTGAAGGAATCAGATGTATCCTTAGATGGAACCAGCCATTACCATAGAGTTTGGTGCTTGTTAGGCAAGTTTATTGTAATTGCTTGCTTTTTTAATTTTTTATTTCATGTATAGTTTATTGTGAACAGTTGCATGGACAGGGTTAATCAAATGGAAGTAGGTGTGAATTAGTTTAGCCGAATGGTTGCTTGTGGTTTGCTCCCACAAGGTCTGGGGTTCGAGTCCCCTCATGGGCACTAACATGGCCAAAGGCCATTGTTTCCCACTTCCTATTATTGTAGGGTTTTGCTGGATGTTGAGGTCAGGGGATTTATGGATTATCAAAAAAAAAAAAAAAAAAAATTAAATCATACATGAAATTTTCTTTGTAAGTTAGTAGTGTTTTTTGCATTGAAATTTTGATTGCCTGAATAACAAAGTTATGATACGTGGGTTAGTCAAGAAGGGAACGTTGAAAACTAGGTTTTGCTTGTAACATGTGGTCATATTTGGAATTTCAATTGTGTAATTTGTGGAAGTAGCATAGAACACTGTGTCTGTGCATCATAGGATAAAATTCAATTTGCTTGGAACTTGTAAGGTGTGGACTCTCTTCTCTTCCTTATTTTATCACTGTTGCTATTGTTGCTTGCCAGGTGGTGGCTCAAGCTTATAATAGTCACTTGGTATCTTGAGTGATTTGCCACTTTTGAATTACTTTAGTAGTACTGATTTCTGTGTATTACTTGTCATGGTGGAAAGTAATGTAAGGTCGCAAAGTATGCTAGCTTGTGAATGAATGAATGATATTTTGGACACTGAACCAATTGTCTCTTTTAGCGAGAAATTAGCATGATGGAATGCAGGCCTGCCTCTATTTGAAACAGAGGCTTAAACCAAGTTGTCACCAAAAGGAGGAAGCGTTCTTGTCTTTGTCATAATAGTTCACTTCAGTGGGCTTTTTAGGGCGTATCAGTTATTCAAGGTGAAAGGAGAATCTTGTTTTAGCTGTAGGGTGCTTTCAGTTCAATTCTTGTATTAGTGATGATAGGTGAACCTGAAATCTACAAGATATTTGCACCGGCTACCTGTTTCATTGAATCTCTGTTTGAGTTCAATTTATTTAGTGACATACACTTGTAGAAAACCTTTATGTTCATATTTTGCAATTTTTAATATATGTGGGTCAGGGTGCTTCTATTCTGCGAAAATCCAAGGAAATCGTGAGATGCTAGGAAAAAGTGAAATTTAAAGTGGTGCTTTGATGTAAAGAACTCAATGATTTGTGCAGTCAATATAAGAATTCATGTTGATGTTAGAGTGACAATTGTATACAGCGAACCTAGCAGCACCGATGCTCCATTTTGCAGGATGTTTATCTACAAGCAGCTGTTAAAAAGCTGTCAGAAGTCCTACTTTTTGCAGTTCTAGTAAATTATGCATCTATTTCTACTTCATAAGATGGTGGGTAATATGATATAAAATGAAAGAAGCTTGCCCGCTTTTTGGATCTAATTGAAGCATGTTGTTATTATCAGTGTTTCGATTGAGATACTTTATTTCTATCTAGTTCTTTCATTTCGTTTTGTGGGCTAGGAAAAGCTCTTGAATATCGATTGAGAGTGAATATTTATAAAAGATATTTAGTTATCTGTGCATGTGTTTTGTGTCCCATTTACTTTAATCTCTCTCTCTCTCTCTCTCTCTCTCTCTCTCTCTCACACACACACACACACACACACACGTTCTTTGACTGAAGTTGTATCCTTCCTGGAACATACAATGTTATCTGGAAAGAAGATCTGAGGCTTTATATTGAACACACAGATCTCTATCGTAATTGGCCAGTTATCATGGAGTTACTTACACTTTTTACATGTCAACCTATTAAGGCA